ATAATACGGGTTCTTAAATTATTGAATTCATTATTGAGACTGAGACTATAAAGTGCCTAAGTGGAACATAGGGTGTTTTGCTTCATTGAAACATTCAGCAGGCCCAGGACAGGAATATTAACATGAGCGCAAGATGGTTTCTTGATATGGCAAGCAATTGGGAAGTCAGGGTCATTCCTTTGGACAGAACTGAGATGGGGAGGTGAGGAGGTGATAAGAATGATGGAAGAATTGACCAGGGTATCATGGAGAGAGCAGATGCTGTTGAATGATATCAGTGGGAGGTAACAGAAGTGACAGTGGATGATCCTTTGAACGCAGTCTAGCGAGTTGGAAAATGAGGACAAGGGGAATCCTATTGATGTTCTGGAAAGGGAAGGAGTGAGGGCAGAAGTATAGGCGATGGGTTAGACATGGCTGAAGGCCACGTCAATCACAATGGGTGGAGGGGCATGGGAGATCCTCAATTGAGGAAAAAAGGTGAACATGGCTGAGGCTCCCCTGCGGAAGGTGGCATTAACAGAACAGATGCAACGGAGATAGAGAAACTGGAAGAATGGAATGGGATCCTTGCAGGAAGCAGGGGGTGAGGAGGTGTAATTGAGGTAACTGTGGGAATTGCTGGATTTGTGATGGGTATTGGTGGCCAGCCTATCTTCAAAAATGGAAGCTGTGAAGTCAAGGGAAGAATCAGAGACAGAGCATGTCAAAGTGAGAGAAGGATAGTAAATGGAAGCAAGAGAGCAGGATGCAGCCTCAAAAGGCATCACTGATGTATTGGAAAAAGATTTATAGGTGTAGGCCCGAGGTCCACAGCCCATGAAGATATCTGGGGCCCCACGCAGATAACTACGGCCACACTTTTGACTTAGAGGAAATTAGAGGAGTTAAAGAAGTTGTTCCAACTGATAATGAGTTCATCCATGTGAAGGAGGGTGCAGGGAGTCTGTGACGGCCTCCTTTCAAGGAAGAAGTAATAAGCCTTCAGACCATCCTTTTGGGGATGGATATTGTAGAGAGATTGCACATCAATGGGACAGCTGAGGCAGCTAGGGCCAGAAAACTGGAAAGTATGGAAATAATGTAAAGTGACAGCAGAATCACAAATGTAAACAAGGAGGGACTGGACAAGATGGGAGAACAGAATTAAGATAGGAAGAGATGAGTTATGAACAGGCTGAAATGAAGGGTTTGCCATAGCAATCATGTTTGTGGATTTTGGGAAGGAGATAGAAGCAGACTGTGTGGTATTGGGGGACTATGAGGTGGGAAGCTGTGCAGGAGAGATCCCCGGAGATGAGGTACATGACAGTACTGGAAACTATACCATGATATTCAATAGTGGGATGATGATCCAGACAGGAGACAGGTGGTCTGAGAGTTGGTACACAGCCTCTGCCAGGTAGAGGTCAGTATGCCAGACAACTGCACCACCTTTATCATCAGGTTTGATAACAAAAGGTCAGCGTTGGTATTGACGGCATGGAGTGCAGTAAGTTAACAGGAAGATGGGTCAAAGTGGATGAGAGGGGCAGAGAAATTCAGGTGGCCAGTGTAATATCAACAGTTTGCAATGAAGAGATCAAGCGCCAGCAATAGGCCAGAGGGAAAAGTCCAGATGGAAGAAGAGTATTGGAGATGGTTGAAAAGGTCTGTGCAGAGTGGGGAGAGGAATCCTACCCAAAGTAGGCATGAGGGCGAAGATGACGGGAAAAAAAATTCAACGTCATGTTGTAACCAAGATTCATTCAGGTCTGGTTATAAAGGTATAAAGTGAAAGTCCTTTGCCGAGTACCGATTGTACAGCAGAGGGGGAAAGGTCAAAGGGTATGGTGAATACAAGGCAAGAAGTGGGATTGGATGGAGGGATGAAGTCAGAGGGTAGGGGAGGGGAAGGAAGATCCAGAGGGTCTTCTCTGAAGAGGTTGATTAGCAAATATCTAAATGAAAATGAAATTCCGACTTGTAAACCATTTGCCTGGATTCCATTAAACCAACCTTCTGGTGTTTAACAGCTCAAAAGAATGAGTGTTTTCTTGAAACATCCACGGTTCTGAAGGGACTTGACAAAATAGATACTGACAGGTTGTTTCTCTTAACAGGGGAATTTACAACATAGGACATGGTCTCACAAAACAGAGGTGCTTATACAGGATTGAGGTGAGGAATAATTTGTTTGTTCAGAGGGCTGTGAATCTTTGCAAATCTCTGTCCTATGGATACAGGTTACGGATGCTCTATTGAGTATGTTATAAACTCAGATGGATTGTTGGCCTCTCAGGAAATCAAAGGATATGGGGAGCAGGCAGGTAAGGGGATTTGAAGCAGAACATCAACCACAATTGCACTGTACGATGCAGCAAACACAAGCTACTGTATAGTCTACTCCTGCTCTCAGGTTCTCAGCGGGTTTCACTGTCAAAACAGCAGAAATGTTGTTTTTCTAGTAATTTAAAAAAAAAACTTTTGAACAATAGACTGCAAAATTTCATTAAAATATTTATTTCGAGATTGCTACCACCATCAATTAATTTGCCTCATCTTCTGTACTAACAACTCTTGTTGAGGCAGAGTCGGTGGGAGAGGGGGCTGGGAGTCCAGCTTGATTAGAAATTTAGTTGTTCATGTTTTGTTATAAGCCCAGTGTGAAGCTGCAAAGCCTGAATCAAATACAGGATCCAATGCACATTTGCGCTTGCATTTCCCAATTATTTGGTTACAATGGGGAATAGATGGAAGACTGACCATGGAGGTAATCCTTCATTTAGTGACCTAGTACTCATGTCTACCTCTGAAGAACATTAATTGCATCCCTGGTGATGTACAGAACAGGAGTGTGGAATGGACTAGCTCATGAACATTTCCAGCATGAAGTAAACATCTAATTAGCAAAGGGTTGCTGCGCATTATTTACTGTGCTGGCACAGGATCAGAATCACTGTGCACTCCACAGTAAGTGTACAATGTGATTTCCAAATTAAGATTTCACGTTACTTTTACATGAATTTTTAAAAAATTCTGAGGCACTTTATTGGAAACTTCTTGCCCAGATAGTTCCCTATCTGATGTAGCTGTGTTCTGCTAAAGAGCTGCCCTGTCACCTATATTTGGTCTCATTAAAGTGCAAATGCCTGTTTTGACGACAGTAGTATTAACAAAAACAAAAATCACAGATTTGTTACAGCACAGGAGGAGGCTATTCAGCCCATCATGACTGCACTGGCTCATTACTTGAGCACATTACCTCGTGACAATCTTTTGCTTCTTCCCCCTCACCCTTACACATTATTTTCATTCAAATAATTAATCAAAATTCTCTTCAATGCCTCAATTGAAGCTGCCCCCACCACACTTCCAAACAGTGTATTCCATACCCTCACTACATGTTGAAGGGGAAAAACAAAATCCGCAAGCCACTTTTACTTCTTTATCAGATCACTTTGAATCGATGTCCCCTCATTGTTCTTTATACAAGTGGAAGTAGTTTCACCTTATCTACAACATCCAGCCTGTTTATGATTTTGAAAACCTATCAGATCTCCTCTTAGCTTTCTACTCTCCAAGGAGAGCAGCCCCAACTTCTTCAAATGATCCTTATAAGAGTGCAGAATGGTTCCAGGGATGAGGAACTTCTTTCTCCAATGTATTCACATACTTCCTATAATGTGGCACACAGCATGTGGACATTACTCCAACTGAGGTCTAACAAGTGTCTTAGACAAATTCAACACCACCTCCTTGTTTCTGTAGTCTGTTCCCCTGTTGATAAAGTCAAGGATACTGTTCTCTCTACCTGAGCTGCCACTTTCAATGACCTGTTCACATGTACATCCAGGTCTTTCTGCTCCAGTACCTCGCTTAGAATTGTACCCTCTATTTTATACTGTCTTTCAATGTATTCTTACCAACATGCATCTCTTGCACACTTCTGTGCATTGAAACTCATCTGCCATCTATCTGCCCATTCCACCAACTTGTCTAAGGAAGGATCCCAATACCGCCCCCTCCACCTGAAAAATATCCATTAACCATTACTCTGTTTCCTATCACTTGGCCAATTTTGAATCCACTTTGCTACCGAATTCTTTATATCACAACTTAACTTCCTTCACAAATCTGTTATGTGGCACTGTATCAAACACCTTCTGGAAATCCGTGTATGCCACATCAACACCATTACCCTCATTGAGCTTGTTACCATCTCAAAAACACACCAGGAAGTTAGTTCAACACGATTTCCCCTTTAGAAATCCATATTCATTCTTCCCAATCAACCCACCTTTTTCCATGTTACTATTAATTCCAAATAATTGCCTTCAGAAGATTCCCCACCACTGAAGTTAGTGGTCTGTAAATGCTGGACTTATCCTTACAACCTTTCTTGATCAAGCTGCAACGTTTATAACTTTCCAATCTTCTGGTACCTCTATGGAGTGTGAGGAGGACAAAGACTGTGGTTAGTGCTCCCGTACTTTCTTCACTACCTTTGGACGCATCTCAGCCAGTACTGTGCCTTGTTAGCTTTAAGCACTTTACGTTTTCCAACACTTTTGTCCTATCAATTTTGAACTCTTTTAGTGACTGAGCTCCCTCCTCTGTCACCATGGCCTGGATAGCATCTCTTTCTTTGGAAGAACACCGTAAGCAAAAATGCTGCTCCCTTTATCTCCAAGTGTGAACACCTTACAACTACTTACTGACAAATCAACATGGACCTCCCTTTAAGACCAATGTCACTTAGGTTTGTTGTTAAGCAGACTTCAAAACAACCATGATTCCTGTTGTTTTACCCCCGTATTAAAAAGACACAGGGCCTAAACATACTCATATATACGTCACAACAGCAACAAATGTAAGCACATGTTTTAAGAGAAGTTGAAGACAAGAGATTGAAGTCACCAGTGACATCAATAAAAGCTATATGAGAGTAAAAGCTCATTCTGGTTGATACAATTAAACCTGGTGGATAGAAGACAGTTATTTCAATCTAAAAGATTTACCTTCATATGTTCCAACTTCTAGAAGAGTACCACTCTCCTCAAGGTCAAAGAACTCCTTCACTGTGAGAAAGTTGTAATCAACACCAGGAACTTCTCCCTCTCGAGGTGGTCGAGTTGTGCCTTGATGGGGAAAAAATACAAAATGCTGATTTTTAAAAAGGAATTTTTAATACTTGTCAGTAGGGGATTTTTCAGGCATGCTGTTTTTTTTACATTTATTGGACTTAGATATGCCTTTCCTTTGTCTAGCACCTGATGGTAGAATTGCTGGGGAAACATATAGCCAATTTTCTTGATTTGAGGAATTGACATCTCAAGTGAACTGGGAAACTAATCTACCTGCCTCTTATTTAAAGATTTTCCATTCCTGATCCTTCCTTATGTTTTCTATTGTTTTGCTCAATTAAATTGGGCAAGATCCTTCTCAGTCCTTCACATTTTACCCTTCTATCTTACCAGTACAGCAACCTCATCTTTAGTTTTGTTCACTTTAAAAAATCCTGTGTGTTGGCCGTTTCCCCGTTGTTCTCATAGTATCATGTTATCTGTCATACTTCAATCCCTGAAATTAAATGAAACAATACTTCCTTCACGAATAAACTACAAATGCACTGATCCAGGATTCAATCTTTGTTGTGAAATACATTCTCCATTTTGACTGCAAAAATTACTTTTAACCCTGTTCATTTGAGATTGTTAAAAATCATCGCATGTTAATATTTGGGCAATCAGAGATGTTAATCAGAATGTGGCAGGGCAGGTCAATCTTAAATCCATTGCTTAGTCACCTGTAATACTGAAACAGTCTGTGCCCATATGCAGCAAAACCTGTATAACATCCAGGCTTGCGCTGATGAATGGCAAGTAACATTCACACCACACAAGTGTCAGGCAATGATCATCTCCACAAAGAGAATCTAACCATCTTCCCTTGACAGTCAACGGCATTTTAAGTGCTAAATTTCCACTATCAACAGGGGGTGACTCTTGATCAGAAACTGAAGCACATCAGATCCTATGAATCCTATAAGTAACTCACTTCCTGACCCGCAAAAGCACAGTTAGGAGTGTGATGTAATACTGTACATTTGCCTGGATGAGTGCTGCTCCAAGCTCATCATCGTCTAGGACAAAACAAGCTGCTTGAAAGGCTTCCCATTCAATACCATAAAAAAAAAACTCACTTACTCTACCACAGATGCAGTAATCGGCATGTGTACCATCTGCAGAATAGACTGCAGCAACTTCCCAAGCCTCCTTTAGCAGCTCTTTTCAAACTCAATCTCCATCACCTTGCAAGCTCCTCTAAACCACACATTATCTTGACTTGGAACTGTGTCACCACTCCTTTACGTTCACCGAGTCACATGTCTGCAACTTCCTTCCTAACAGGATTGTAGGTGTAGCAACACAACATGGGTAGCAGCACCTCAAGGTGGCAGCTCCCTGCCACTTTCTCAAGTGCAATTAGGGATGGGCAACAAAGGGTGACCTTACCAACAATGGTCACAACCTAAGAAGGAATAAGTCTTAACATTATTTCCATTTCTATTCCTTAACCTTACAGGAATAGATTACATTTTCACATGAAACCAAAGCATACTTTTGTAGCAGCTCACTGGGGCATCCAATCTTTTAATCTTGAAACAGTAAAGCAATTAACAATAGTATTCTGAAATGGCAAACTAAACATTTCTATGTCGTGTCTACAAAAGAGAAGAAATTTTGCAATGAGGGTAGGAGAATCAGGTTGTTTATTTCCATGGAAAACCTGTTCAGTTATAAAACTATCTACAATAGAAAGCAGCTGCCATGACAGGTACTGGGCTGGATTTCTGGTCTTCCGTTTAAGATAGACTTGTTACAATTTAGAGAATGCTTGGGCCCCAGCTGATATGAGGTTAATATAAAACAAACAGAAGAACCAAAAATATAAAATTAAATCTGATATTCTGACTTCCTAAAAAACGATAAACATCTTTAAAAACTGTACAAAAAACCCAAACAACTCTATTTCCAAAAGTCAGTGCTTAGAAGATCCTGCGCACACAACTTCCCTCCCTGTATCCCCCAAAAAAACACACTAGAAATATCTGTAAACTAATATCAGTGTTTGAAATAAATAATTAGATCAGAGCGGTGTTTAAAAGATCAAATAAAGGTTCTGTGGGGAGAACCAGAAGAAGAAAGTAAGTTGTGGTTGTAATTAAAAGTCAACTCTGCTGGATTATCTAATCCGTTAGTTAATTTGCAGAGATTTATTTAAAGAGAAGGCTAACATAACTGGAATTCAAAGTTTCCCTTACAAAGTTCAAAGTTGTGGTTAACAACACAGTTGTCAAAATTTATTTGAGCATCATATCACAGAACGATTGCAAAAAAATAATCCTACAACAATGGAGTCCTGATTTGTTGTAAAGACATGATTTATATTGAACAGTTTCGTTGATAGCAAACAGAACAACAGAAACACAATTTGGCGTGTGCACTTCTTTTAAAGGTGCACCTTAATGAATGGGGGTGGGTCCATTCCTGTGAGTGCAAAATCACTTTGCTCATTCATTGAGACAGACTGAGTCACTGTCAACACGGGTTCTGAATGTTTGTGTTGCCAGCACAGCTACAGAAACTATCTCTTCCAGTGTTGTGCCGACTCGCAGAAGGCAGTGCTGTCATCTTATTTACTTTGCTGTTGTGAAAGCAGGACTGCCATTGATAAAGTGCATGCCCTGCAAGTATGTCAGGACATGCCAGTCTATGACATGGCTAATCACTGATAGCATGATTTCTAAAGAAAGGTGGAGTTAAATTTGCAGTTTAGCTGAAATTGTCAATTTCACACTCCACTTCAGCTGATGCTTAGCCACTTCAACCAATCTTGCTGGCATTTCTGAAGCCCCATTCATAATGAAGCAAACCTGTCTGCATCCACATGACGTTAATGTCAGTGGTTAGTTCTTCCTCTAATACTTTTGGAATTGCAAGGCTTTCAAATGAAAGGTAAACCCACCTGATATCAACTATCTAGTTTTGCTTTTAGAGATGGACTGTACAGCAACTGTTCTATATCCTGAGGTGCCTTCTGCAATTACAGTTTTCAGTATTTTCTATGTCAAATCAATTTTCATAAATAAAATGGAGCAAAACTAACATGTGCCTCCATTTAATCCAAACTGGCCACAAAGGGACTTTTCACTAAATCACAAGTCTGCAATTTTGTGCATATATTGTTGACAGTTCTAGATACTGATGAACTTTGTAGTTTTCTTATATATTAGCCTATGTAACATATATCACGAAAGGGTACTGGCTGATCAAATATATTTAAGTTTATTTACAACACTATTTATAAATGAACGTTATCACAGTCAGAGATTAAGTTCTGTATTTACTGGTGTTGCAAACACAAATAACTAACTAAAGGCACTACATGGAGGCTATTGCACAGGGAGTGACTACAGGTGAAGTGGGTACCTTGATTATGGAACATCAGTCTTTATACATCAAGTAGCTTTCTTCAAAGGTCTGGCTGGTCTGGAATCTATGCCATAACATAATATCTTCTGTTCCCTTTAAGAACGGGAACCCTTTTTTGATAACGTGCACAGATGCATGTAGATTAATTGTGTCTATACAATCAAATAACATCTTAATGGACATAATGTGAACAGATTTGGTCCTTAAACAATAATCGCGATTTGGCATGTAGCTTCGCTCTACAGCATCCTATCGTTTGTTGTAAATGTGTGATTGTTGTCTCGCGTGGAATTTTAAGTATCTGGATCACCAGCATGTGTGATGAGTGGCTGATACGACTTTTGGATATTCTAAAAAAAAGACTGTGGATGCTGAAAATCAAAAACAAAAACAAATTGCTGGAAAAACTCAGTAGGTCTGGCAAACGGTTGGATTTCTTGTTTAATTTTTCATAGGATTTAACCAGTGCTCAATACAATATACTGTGACCTAGGCTGGACATGACATTTTTTGTATCTTTCCATGAAAATTGAATTCATCCACTTGTTCTAGTTCAATTTGGAATAACTGCCCGCGTGCTTGTTGATGACGCTCATGCCATTTTCTTCCTTCTTCCCAACAGTGCAATGGTCAACACGGTTGGGTGGTGACAATGTGGTAGGGAAGGACTGTGTGGATCAGTGTCTCAAATATGAAACAATGGCTGTTGAGGGTAAATGTCTGGAGAAACATTATGAATATATTGAATACATCTGGGCAAGTCATTTTACATCTAATGACAGTGGATTTTTCAGTATGACCAGAGCGTTCTGCAAATCCATTCAACAGGAAGCGATGAACAGGTGAAGGTAATATGTTGATCATCCCGTTTCCTACACATTTCCTTGAAGAGTGCCCTAACATAGACAGAATTTGCTGAGACACACTGAACAAAATGAATATGGTAGTCAACAACCATTGTGTTAGTGGAATCCATAATTTGTCTCACAAAAGGGAATTTGGTGAAATTAATCAGTTACCAAAATGTAATTCTGCACCATATCTCAGAAGGCATCTTGTGTGGAAGCAGAGGTTCTCTCAATTGATGAGATTTATGGAATTGATCAACTGAGCAAGTTTAAAGCATCTATGCCCCTATTAATGCTGGGCCAATTTTTTTTTTAAAACTGCGCCTAGGTCATTAAATGTATATGGATTGGCATTCCTGACATAGAGTTTGTGGAATTATGAATTGATTGCCTTTAACTGTATTCTTCGGGTTGTAGTTCCTCCCTGAATGGCCAGAAAGAATGTACTAGCTTGAGGAGCCGCTGAATGTATTCAGGCAACTTATCATCATTTAATGTAGCTTGCTGAATCCACTCTTCTCAGTTCTGACCAAAACACGCAAGACTGATACTGCAGTATTACAACTGAGGGCTAAGATTAGCAAGGCGACATAATATGTAGATCCATGCATGGTGGTAGACTGAAAATAACTGGTCCTTGTGTTTTGACAGCTTAAAACTTTCAGGTGTCAATCCTGAGGAATGTATTGGCATTTAAGAAATATATTGCCAATGCATGGGATTTTCAGATCATTGGAAGCAGTTAACCTATCTGTGTTTATGCACCACACTGATTCAGTGTCATTTTCATGTGTG